GAAAAAACCCTCGAAAATAGCATTTCTGGTCGCTTTTTGTATAAAAACCGCATCCTTAAAGGGAAAAACCATTTCCAGAACACATTTTCCACCAAAAATTCACTATTTTTGGGTCGAAATATGGGTTCGGGGCTGAAGGTAGCTTAAATACGAGGTTAAAATAGATAATACGAGCTACTAATCTAATAAGCAACTTAAACCAGAAAAATTAAGCCATAAAAATAACTTTGAAAAATATTATAATTTTAAAAATAAAAGAGCGTGGCTCCGATACCGCTGTTGGGGTTTGGTAAGTCCAACCTACGGCGGAAACGACCCCGACCCCAAGAACCACTCGCAATTAATAAAACCATAAAGCATAACAAATAAACATAAAAAGAATAAAATCGGAATTTACCTTTGACGCGTGCTTCGCCCGACCTAATGGGCTCTTACTTGAAAGCTTTAGCTCCGAAAATACCGAGCCTCCAATGGTATCCACCCACAAAGGACGAACACCGACTTTGTAGGTCCGCTATCTTTGAGTTAGCAAGGTCCGACCATAACCCGAGTGATTAAATGAGTTCAAAGGTTTTCACAATGGTGATGCCTTTTTCAACTCTCACTCAAGTGATTTTCCCAATACCCCAACTTGGGTATTTATGGGGAAAACAAAAGAGTTAAAAAGCTCTCCTATCAATGTGGGAGAATTTGATTTTTCCATTTAATTTTAAAACTAAAATAAAATAAATAATCAAACTAGTAATAAATAAACAAGTGGCAAGCTCATGAGAGAGGTTAGGTGAGGACCGTTTAGAGGAGGGGGGACCAAACTTTCTCCCCACTCCCTCTCCAAAATCCGGCCAACTCAACCCTCAAACCTCCTCTTACAATGCGCCACATTTACCACACTTGGGCACCAAGGCACCCAAGGTGGGCTGCCATGTGCGGCTGCCAGCACAAGCGTGCGGGCTGCTAAGCGCTACTGGCCAGCAAGTCCAGCACGGCTTGTGTGGGCTGCTCGTGCACTCGGCCAGCAAGCCGCGCATCAAGGATGTGGGCTGCTACTGAGTGTCGATGCTCCTTGCGCGTGTTATCCAGCGCTGTTAGCATGCGATTCTAGCATTGGTGCGCTAGCACGCACCAGCCAGCCTAGGCTCGGATTGGTGCGCATTCAAGCCACCATGCTATACTAAATGCCCCTAGCACTCGGTTTGCTTGGGGCATTCCGGTTCTAGGGGTATTTTTGTCTTGTTGATTTATTAATTTCATGTCTCGTCTTTTGTTATTTTGACTCAACTTCCGACGCTTGGTTTCGACGCTCTAAGCTCGAATTTTCGACGTCTAAATATTTAATACTCGGGCGACGAATTAATTTCTTCCGAATTAATTCGTCGATTAGGTTCGTATATTTTCTAGGGTGTGACCCGAAGGATTTAGTCAAGATTAAGCTGTAATATTAATTATACATTAATATTACTTAACAGAAGCGGCCTCCACCTAGGCATTCTGATCACTTGACCTTACTGAATATATTAGCTTTCTAATAATTCTGAACCTGCTATCAGAATAATACACTTTTTCGAAGGACACCATTCCTTTCGTCGGATGCTATTTAAGGTCCGAGTCCGATTAGAATCTTATTCGGATTTGGAGATTTTTTATCGGATTCGAACTTGGATTCCATTATTTCGGAATTGGATCGGACTTTTTTCCTCGGTTGGATCGGACTCGGATTGAACTGGAATTAAATTGCCATCCCTAATGTGTGGTAATGAATTAGATCCAGAAAAACTTGCAAATTTGTATTTCAATCATCCTGTCTCTGAGTCTTGTCATGTGTACCGTAGAAGGGCTTATATTTTTTGCATAGTTAGCAAGCTTTTATTTGCAAACGGTAGGGTAGGACATGCTTGTTTAGCGTCTTTGCTTGAATATGTTGAATCTGGAATATCTCTTATGCCTACATGCCTTGGAGAAACTTTGTGTGGCCTTGACGAGGCAAAAGCTGACCGGAAAGCCATCATGAAGGGCTCTCTAGTACTTTTACAGGTAAAAACACGCCTTAATTAGCGTGACACATAGAAGGCACCGTGTCACGGTACATATCTGCCGTGACACGGTGCATTTTGCATTTTTTGTTCAGATTTGGTTGATGGAGCATTTAGAACTTTTTGAAGCCCCCGAAGGTATTGAAAAATATGGTCCCATAGATCTGGTCTGTAGGAAGAAGAGTTACTCTGCAAACATCTCATATGATGATTGGAAAGGTCTTCTTTTGCAAAGAGAGAATTTTCTATTCGGTGGGTGGTGCCTTGGTGGAGGCTTACTAGGATGGTTGGCATGAATGATACTCCGTATTGTCGCGTTCCTAGTATTTTAAAGTTTACTTTTTATTGTCCTTCTCGATTGATGCGACAATATGTACTTGAACAAGTAGTTCCACGCTATAACGATAGTCGTCGTGAAGTATCGTTGCATGAAAGTAATGTTCACAAGTACGAGACTTATTGGATTGGAAGACCTTTGTGGAACGTTTCTGCGAGTAACCTAGCTCATCCTCCCTTATCTACTGCATACAAGGCATGGTTGAATCCTAGAAGTAGAAGGGATTGAGTCGGATAACGCAACTTTGAAGTAAAGGGACATCTTGGAAGTAAGAAGGCACCTCCTAAAGATCGTCTAGGTCTGAGAACGCAAGGAATTGAGTTTAAGACTCCTATAATTCCTAAAAAGAAGAATTATGTGAAAGGAAAAGGTAAGGAAAAGATGGTTTATAGAGAGAAGCAATCGAAGAATTCTAAGAAAGGTGAAAGGGGTGAAAGTTCAACTAGAGGTGTGACGGTTTGGGCTTCAAAAGACACATTAATGGTGAAGGCCAACCTAGTTTAAAAAGAGAAGAAGGTTCCTAAAGTGAAGAAGGATTAGATCGATATTGCTTTGCTTATATGATTTAAATTTTTAATTTTTGAATAAGGCGCATGATGCCAATAATTGTAGTAACATTTATTTTTGCCTTAAATAAAAATTGCAATGACTTTTATTTTATTTTATTATTATCCGAGTTAAGAAGTCGGACACAATGGAAAAATAATAACAATCGTCAAATAAAATATCCGTAAAAAAAAATGCAAAGTCCAGGGGCTGCCAAGCCACTGAAAAATATGTTGCGTCACACTAGAAAATATCGTGATGCAGGGATTGTTTGCTGTATTCTTTTTTGCTGGAAATTCCGTCGTGCCACGGTGAAATTTGTCGTGACACGGTGACGCTTTCTGTGGAACTGCAAAACCTGACGTGGCACAACATCCTTTTTTTTTGTCGTGCCACGGGGTAATCTGTCATGCCGCGGTGGCTGATGTCGTGGTGCGGTGGATGCTTAAGTGTTACACTTGGTCGATGGAGGAAGAATTTTATTTTTTTAAGTGGTCAAGCCCCCTTGAGGGGTTGCCTACGTATCCTTAACAAAGGAATCGGGCCAAATGTAGCTCTATCAGGTCATGAACCCATGCAACTAGGCATAAAAATTTCTTGAGTTGATCTAAGTTGGTTAATTTATGGATTTAAAAATTATTGCCATCCATGTCTACCAATTGTGCCGCTTCGCCAGACAAAATGGATTTAACAATGTATAGACCTGACCAGTTTGGTCTAAATTTTCCCCTTAGATCTAACACATTTTTGCGAAGTGCCTTAAGCACCAAGTCACCTTCTTTGATGTTCCTAGTCTTTAATTTTTTATTGCAATGTCATTCCACACGCTATTGGTAGGTTTGGAAATGATGCAAAGCTGCCAAGCGTCTTTTGTCAAGTAAGACTAGTTCATCATCTCTTACTCTAATCCAGTCGACTTCATCTAGTTGGCTTTCCAACTCGATTATGAGAGAAGGGATTTTGAGCTATATTGGTTTTACAGCTTCAACTCCATAGACCAAAGAGAAAGGGGTAGCCCCCGTTGATGTACGAAAGGAGGTTCGATAACCCAAAATGACGAAATGTAGCTTACTTGGCCAATCTTTGTAATTTTCCGTCATCTTTTCGATGATAGTTTTTACATTCTTGTTGGCCGATTCAATCGTACCATTTGTTTGTGGCCTGTAGGGTGATGATCAGTGATGCTTGATATGATATTTCTTTTATAGTTATGCGCACTCGACTTTGAAATGCGTTCCATTATAACTGATCATCTCATGAGGTACCCCATAGCGGCATATGATATTTTTCTCAATGAATTGAACTACATGTTTTGCTGTGAGCTTAGCATATGAGGCAGCTTCGACGCATTTGGTGAAGTAATCAATTGCTACAAGGATAAACTCATGTCCCCCTTGTCCTGGAGGTGTTATCTTTCCAATGATGTCGATACCCCAAGTAGAGAAAGGCCATGGAGAAGAATATGTGTAGAGAAGCGAAGGTTGAACGTGCTGCAAATTTGCGTAGACTTTCCACTTCATACATTTCTTGAATTATTCGTGAAAGTCTGTCTCCATGGTAGTCCAATAATAACCTTGTCTTTGAATCTTTTGGACTAACATTTTAGCATTCATATGCATTCCGCATATTCTGGCGTGAAGGTTTTCCATGGTTTTGCGCGCTTCAGTCTTCGCTATGCAAAAGAGATTTCTCCCTTGAGCGGTCCTTTTGTGGAGTTCTCCTATGATGAGCACATACTGTGAGGCCAGGAGCCTAAAAGCAAGACGTGCCATTTTATCAGTATTAGGAGGGTATTCTCCCTTTGTCACGTAATTAAGGATATCTGTGTACCATAGCTCTTCATCTTCTTCTTGTGCTTCTTGTTCATCATCAAGTGCGTGAACATAAGCCGGGTCATACCTTCTTTCTATGTTCAATGGCATTCTAATTGTGTCTGTTGGAATTCGAACCATTGATGCTAATTTAGCCAGTGCGTCGGCAAACTGGTTTTCTTCTCTAGGAAAGTACGTATATTCAACTTCATCTAGTTACTCCATGAGAGTTTCCAAATGAGCTTGATACGTAGCGTGACTTTCACTTCTCACTTTCTACCTTTTGGGGATCTGGTTGATGATTAGTGACGAGTCGCCGTAGATTATGAGTTTCTTAATTCCAAGGGCCACAGCTATTTCCAATCCCAAGATGCATGCTTCATATTCTGCAACATTGTTGGAGAAATAAAAGTTGAGCTTTATGGAAATCAGAATGTGTTCTTCGTTGGGTGATTCGAGCAAGACTCCCACACCACAACCTTTCTGGTTCGAAGCTCCATCAAAATAGAGCGTCAAGCTATCATCTTTAGTCATGAGTAGATCTTCATCAGGGAAATCATACTCTTCTTCTTCTTTCTTAACTTCTTCTAGTGGGAAATCTGCTAGGAAGTCATAAATTGAGAAACCTTTAATAGCCTTTTGTGGTACGAATTTTAAGTCAAACTGAGCAAGGTTGACTATCAACCTTGATAATCTACCATTAAGTGTTGCTTTTTCAAACAAATACATAAGAGGGCCCATCTTGGATACAACATGCATCGTATAAGTGAGCATGTAATTTCTTAATTTATGCGCAGCCCACATGAGTGCAAGACATAACTTCTCAAGTGGTGTGTACCTGTTTTCATAACCGTGAAGCTTTTTGCTGAAGTAGTAGATTGCATATCCTTACTCTCGATCTCCTGTGCTAGCATTGCCCCCATTGTTTCTCTTGTGACCGTAAGATAGAGTCGAAGAGGAAAGGCGGGCATTGCTTGTGCTAGCACGGGTGGGTTTTCTAAGTATTCCTTCATCTCATGTAACTGGAACGTTCTTCTTCATCTTCTTGAATATAGGTTCACATATCATAGTGAGTTTGGATATGAACCTACTTATATATTGCAATCTTCCGATAAAACCCTGAATCTCCTTCTCAGTCTTGAGTGGTGGCATGGCCATGATTGCTTTGACTTTTGTAGGATCAATTTCAATTCCTCGAGAACTGATCACATAGCCAAGTAGCTTGCCAGATGTAACTCCGAATGCACATTTTGATAGATTCAACCTCATAATATATTTGCGGAGTCTTTCAAAGAAAATGCGAAGCGCAATGATGTGGCATGGCCGATCTTTTGATATGACGATCATATCGTCAACATAAACCTCCACCTCATTATGCATCATATCATGTAATAATGATGTGGCTGCTCTTTAGTAGGTGGCACCCGCGTTTTTCAACCCGAATGGCATTACCATATAGCAATATGTACTCCATTATGTGATGAATGTAGTTTTCTCCATGTCTTCCTCGGCCATTAATACTTGCTTATACCTCGCATAGCCGTCCATGAATGACAGGAGTGTATGGTTTGTTATGTTATCGATTAGAATGTCAATGTGAGGTAGAGGGAACCCATCTTTCGAGCTTGCCTTGTTGAGATCCCTATAATCAACACACATTCTGACCCTTCTATCCTTCTTCGCAACTGAAACCACATTAGCTATCCATTCTAGATACTTGGATACTTTGATGAAACCTGCAGCTAATTTCTTTCTGATTTCTTCCTTGATTTTTAGGGCCACATCTGGTTTCATACTGCGCCGCTTTTGTTTGACAGGCTTCATACCTGGAATGAGTGGTATCGTATGCTGAGCTATATCCCTGTTAATTCCTGGCATATCTTGGTATGACCAAGCAAATACATCAAAAAATTCACTAAGAAAGTTAATTAGCTCTTTGCGTTCGTCTTGACTTAGTGTTAATCCAATTTTTACTTCTTTTATTGTCATATCATTGGAAATATTAACTTTTTCTATATCTTCGATGATTATTGTTTTATTTTCGTGTTCTTCCATTGCTTTTATTATTTCTTTGTCATTTTTATCATTAGCAAAGCAATATTGATCAGGGTTAGGGGAATGACACACATCGTAAGCAAAGGTACTCATTTCATTGAATTCATTGGTCATTATATCGAGGAGGGCAAGGTCAGCTGCAACCTTGCCGAAATTATATGGGATAGAAAGAGGAGACTCAACAAGAGACTCAGCGTTAAGGGGAACCACATTAGACTCTATGGCAAAAAAGGGGTCGGCCTCAAATCCTAAAGACTCGTCTACAGACTCAGACTTGGACTCGGACCTAGACGATTCAGATTCATCAAACATAGGACCTTCGCCAGCGGTCACTTCTAACTTCTCTCAACTTGGCGTAGTGATCTTCACCGTCTTGCGCCATCCCTTTGAAACATTGTCATCCAACACGATCAACTCAGAGGGGTCAAAATCTTTGCTTGATATAACAGGTTGAATGAGCTAAGAATCGTCATTGCAGACATGCTTGGGTTCATTCTTTTGTAGTCCAAAAAGAAGATTAATTTTCATATCATCAGAGCTTGGACTGGCTGGTAACCCAGTTGTGAAGAACTCATCGCCTTCTCCGACGAAGTCACAATCAAGGAACATCTCGAAATCTAGCTCACGCTTCCCATCGTGGATGAAAGGCTCAAAGAATTCATAGCATGGGAAGTTTTCCCATTCTTTGATGTATTCGAAGTTAAGAGTGAAGGGGTATGGATCCATGGCCCTTTCCATCTTCATGGTTCAAGCATTATTGTGAGCCTTCATTTTTAGGAGAGCGTGTTTCATATCTTCTTTTATTGGCTTGAATCCCAAGCCAAAGGTATTCTTCTTAGGTGCACCAGGATGGCCCAAAACTTTAGCCATATTCTTTTTGAGTCTGAGGGTCATTCCAGGGAAATGCCCTTGCTTCTTCATAATGGCATTAACATTGGTGTTCAAATAAGGATCAAAGTGGAGGTGACACTTCTCCTCTTCTTCGATCATGAGAACATCGTCTAATGAAAACCCCCAGAGATCTTCATCTTCCTCTTCATGTTCGACATGGACAATGAGATTATCAATAACTTGAATGTGCATGGGGGAGGCATCAATGGTAATTGGAACCTCTCCAACTACAGCTTTCACCTTTTAGTGCAACGACGATGGGATCGCCTTTAGCTCATGAAGCCAAGAACGATCTAACATCATATTGAAAGAAGCCTTAATGTCAACAACCTGAAACTTGGTGCGACGTTCAATGGCTCCAGTAGTTATATTTAGCATGATAGTACCCACAGCTTGGCGGTAAGTATTATTGTAAGAACAAATCCCTTAAGTAGAGGGGATCAATTGTTAATCTTTTATGCCAAATGTCTTTGCAGTGCGTGGTGGGCATACATTGATTACAGAGTGAACGAAGGTTGATAGGTCGTTAAACTACTACCCTAATCAAATTAATCATTTGTAATGCCTAAACTTACACCAAACTAGTTAGTGGCAAGTAAAGGGTTGAACCACTAAGGAATCTCACTAATTCAAGATCAATTTTCACTAATGCAAGAGTAAAAAGGGGATCGTTTTTGTTGGTTTTTGAATAACGAGCACTAAAACTACAAATAAGTAAAGAAGATGATGATTAAAATCAAGAGAGAACGACGCTAGGGATACGGGGGTGTCAAATATGATTAGAAAGAGGGAAATAATAATGATTATCATGAAGAACATGCCAAAGAACACAAGATTCTACCTAAACAATTCATTCTCATGCAATAGTCTAGGCAAATCAATGAAAAAGGTCTATACTTATAAGGATCATTCTCATGCATCCTATTAGTTACAATCAAATCAAGTGAATAAACAAGCACAATCCATAAAACTCCACTTTAATAACTCATTCTTATGCAATCATTAAAATAGAGATGATCTTAATGTAGTTCAAATTACTTTCATGCATTTAAACTAGAAAACATCAAATAAAGTGCAGCAATAATCTCAAGCTATCAAAAATCATATCTTTCATCAATTTATGGCATGAGTTCAATCCAACCATCATCATTCATCTAATATCAACACATATTTTCCACCCCCTTCCCCTAGCTAATAAATTAGCTTATAGAAGGGAGATTAAACATAATATCAAAACTAGAAATAAACTCAAGATACACAAAAAAAAAACATGATTAAGAACAATGAAATAAATAATAACTAGATGAACTAATAAGATTAATGAAAATAAGCAACAATAAAATAAATAAATAAAGCTAAAAGAAAGGATTAGAGATTACTAAAGAGAGGATTAATGAAAAATGAAAACTTGAAGTGTTGCTTGATTGAAGATTAAACTTGACCAAAGTTGAATACAATAAAGGAAACTTGAGTAAAAATCAACTTTCTCTCTCTAGATTAAGCTAAAATTCAAAAATTAGAACTAAGTTAGTTTCATTACATCAAAAAAGTTCTAAAACGGGACTTATATAGTTCTTACACAGCTGGCTGAAGTCGGCAAAAGGTTCGACAAAACATAGGGTAGGTTCGGTCGAACCTCCCTGCTCCTGGTTCGGTCGAACTTCTAGGGTTTGACCGCTTCCGCAAAATGCTTAAATCTAAAAAGTTCTTGCTTCCAAAGTTCGTTCGAACCTTGTGCAGGTTCGATCACACCCAAGGTTCGACCGAAGTTTTCAGAGAGTTCGACTGCTTCTCCTATAGAACTTGCTTTCTTCAGCTCCAATTTAACTTAAGCCTTCATCTCTTTGAAGACCCCAGTTCCTAAAAAATACAAGCATGGAAATCAAAGTGAAGAGTAGGAAGAAATATAGGGAAAAGGAAGATAAAAGAGAAGGGAAAGGAGAAAACAAAACTAAGGTAAAATGCTTAGAAAAGGGCCAAACAAGTGAAAATGAGGGGAGAATCCTAAGAGAAAAAAGGATAAAAGAGTGGCATAAATGCAACTCATTAAAATCCCCAACAATTGCCTCTTTTTTGTCTTCGGGCAAGGAAAACTAGAAAAAAGAGACAAACACAAAAAACATAACATGGCATAGTTTTAGAAAAACCAATCAAGCCTCAAGGTAGGAAATGCTCCAATTGGACTCACACGAAGATAATTGCACCAAAGAATACTTACCTTTATCAATTCAAAGAGGGAAAACACGTTCTAAGATGCTCAAGGTTGAAAGAGACAAACCTAAGCTAAGCATAGAGAACTAATTATTTTATTCTCCGCCCTAGCCCCAACCAAGATGGTCCGCGTTCTCTCTAGTAGCTTCAATTCATCCCTTAGTTAGCTCCTCATGATTCCTCGAGGGAATTGGAAAAAGAAATTTTATGTGGAATCATATGTTCTTCCCGACATCTGAACTATGCATACTATCTCCATAGGGTTGAAATCTATCACCCTCCACCGGTGTTTGACCTCGCCCTTCTAAAGTCCAAGGGTTTTAACTAGGGTTGTAATGTCATGGCTAAGGGTTAAGGTTGGGAATCAATTTGAAAATTTTGGTGGCAAATCCTAAGTGAAGCAAAAGAGTGGCCATCTCTCATGAACAACCTAAGAATTGGACCTAGACTCAAACTACAACCTTCAATACAAACCTCACAACATTACTTCATCCCTTTTCATCATTCATTCATTCATTTTTTTTAATATGAAAACTTGACTTGGTCTTCTTGAATTGCATCTTTCTTCTCAAGCCTTTTTGCATAATCTTTTCATGTTCAACTTTCAAAACTATAATTGAACCAAATTACACATTTTTCTTGCTCATATCCAATAATCTCAAAACTCAAACCTCACAAGCCAATGCTTCACTAACTACAAGGATCGGTAAGACATAAGCCGATAGGTTTGTAATATGGTTAAGTCAAGAAAGGGAAATAAGGCTCAAATTGGTTAGGAAGTACGTTGATGCAAAAATGAAAACAAAATTTGTAACAAAACACAAGAAAACAAAGAAAAATGAGAAGTGCCCTTTTCCTCCTCTAGAGTTTCTTGGTCACAATCTTGGGAGCTAGAGGCCAACACAAGGATTAAGATACGCATAGTCAAGGATCCTAAATGCCGCTCAACAAGAATGAAGGCTTGAACAATATTAGACCTCACAAGGGGTGGGAAGTAAGCAAATACCAATTAAAGTGAATCCTATCCACTATAGAGAGCAACACCATCTTACCACTTTCCCGTGAGCTAAGGGTTCAAACGTCCTCAATAGTTCTTAGCCTTACTACCTTAGCTTAAAATTTGTCTATATCAACCATAAGCACTCTTAAACCGTGTAAACCCTCATCAACTTGGAATACTAGAGTGTACCCGTTCAAAATGCACGGGATATATTTTAAAAAAAAATCTAATGACAAAATTATATTTTAAATACGTGAAATTGATTTTAAATAGTTCTCGATATATAAGAAAATTGTATTTCAAACACGTGAAGTTGATTTATATATATATATATATATAATACTCGGTATATAATAATTAAATAGGTAGTTTGACTTTTAAAAGATGAACATAAAGGTGGTTTGACTTTCGTTAACTTTCTCTCTTCTCTCTCTTCTCCATGGTTCTTCAATTTTGATCGGTTTCTTCATCAATCTTGATCTCCGATTGGTAAGAAGAAGAAGCAGAACACTCCTACACCTCAAGTATCACAACAAAAGAATACTCATGAACCTTTTGATACAATTTTTTCAGAATCTGAGGAACTCAGGCACTTAATTTGTTCCTAGCCCGATTCAGGAGGTGGATGAGCTGGTTACTCTGGCGCCAGCATTGGTACATCTAGCATGTGGTGCTATTCCAAGAAGTGATGCTGAGACTATTGCTTTATTTGCTGAGGCAACTTCTAGACCAGATTCTTTGATTTCTAATAGAATAGTACCTAGGGTTTCTGAGTTTATTGTTCCATTGGTTGCTGGAGGATCTTGGCATCGATCTGAGCAAACAATTCCCGATCATCATTCTAAACTTCCCCCGGAGTATAATGCATGAAAAGATGGTGAGGATCGATCTGTTCCCTTCTCTGGTAAGCTGGCAGCTAAAGGATCTCCTCTGTCCTATGTTGCCCCGAAAGTTCAAGATGGGAAGCAGGTTGCTCAACTACAAGAGTCTGAACTTAGTGAAGGTAATAAAAAGTGGTCTAATGCTTTAGTTTTCTATGTGGTTGGCTATTACCCTACTATTGCTGCTGTTCATCGATTTATAGCCCAGCAATGAAGCTCTGTGGAGAAACCAGATGTTTATGGGCATGATGATGGGTATTTTATCATTAATCTTTGTTCTGTTGATGATAAGGATATATACTATACTTTGTTCTAGTCCTCATATGTTTCTTGGAAAGCCAACAATAGTTTAGCCATGGAGTCCAAAATTTTATTTCAGTGCAGAAATTCTAAGATCTGTCCCTCTTTGGGTCAAGTTCCCTAATCTGCCAGTTAATTGCTGGGGATCTGACACTCTTAGCCGTATTGGCAGTCTTCTTGGTGTGCCAATTTGTGTTGATAAATGTACAACTAGGCAACTTAGGGTGTCTTTTCCTAGGGACCTAATTGAAATTGATGTTACAAAGCCTATGCCTCATTCTGTTCTAGTTGAGAGTCCTTTAAAAGAAATGTTGGAGCTCAAGGTAGTATATGAGTGGGCTCCACCATTTTTCTCTAAGTGCAATAAGGTTGGCCATGATTTCTCTATCATATCTGCTCCTGCTAGACCTAAGCAGACTCAGCCTAAGCAATTAGCTCCTGCAGCACCTACACAGAAGAAGGCCTAGGTACCTAAGCCTATGTATCTATTCATTCTGATGTTGCTACTGATGCTTCTATTCATTGACAGTCTAATATCACTCTACATGTTACTACTTCCCAGAACAACTTAGATGAAGGATGGAGAATAGTTGGAAGAAAGACAAAGAGCCAGCAAACAAGAGTTAATTAGCCTGCTTCCACTTCTAATGCTTTGTTGCTCTATTTGCAAATGAAATGGAAGGTGCTCGTGGTTTCACTATTAATCCAAGCGGGGGTGAGGTTGATCCCCCCTCTGGTGATATGATTTACTCTATCTGGATTGTTAGGGGCCTGAATGACCCTGGCAAAGTTGCTTCTGTAAAGAAGCTGCTTCACTCTCATTCAGTTGATGTAATTAGTTTGCTTGAAACAAATGTTAAACTTAAAAACGTTTCTAGTTATCAAAAGAAGTTTGGCCCTTCCTGGTTATGGGTCTGCAATTATGATTATTCATCTAAAGGGAGGATTTGGATTGGTTGGAATGTAGATAGAGTTACTATCAATGTTTTACAGGTTCATGAGCAATTTATTTATTGTCTTGTCTCTACTAGGGACCTTTCTATGCAGATTCAGCTCACTGTTACCTATGGCCTTCACTCTATTCATGATAGGCATCTCATGTGGGAGGGTATTAGAAACCTATCTATTTTGCATTCACCTTGGTTATGTGCTGGTGATTTTAACTCTATGCTCTACTCTTTAGATAGGCTATATGGTAGTAATGTCACTAATTATGAGACTAGGGATTTTCAGAGTTTTGTTGATGATTTAAATCTTACTGAGGGCAAGAGCAAGGGAGCTTTCCATTCTTGGTCAAATAAGGCTCATACTGGTCCTAGAACCCTTTCTAGGATTGACAGAGTCTTTGGTAACCAAGCTTGGTTGGATTCTCATGGTCATGTTGAAACTGTCTACCTTGCTCCTTCCCTCTCTGATCATAGTCCAGTTCTTTTGGACATTTGTCCTGCTCCTGCTGGGAAGGGTAGACTATTCAGATTTCTAAACTGTATTGCTCAGCATCCTAAATTTCTTGACATTATTTCTCAGGCCTGGGTTTCTAATGGTTCTGTCTAGCAGAAATTAAAATCTGTGAAATCTGATATCAAGTCCCTAAATAACAAGCAGTTTGGTAATATTGGTCAAAAAATTGATCAAGCTTATGCAAAGCGTACTTAGATTCAAAACCTAATGGCTCAGAATACTGATGATTTAGATTTGTATGCTAAGGAATCTGATGTTATTAAGGCTGTCAAGCACTGGAATGGTATCCAAGAAAGCATCTTCAAGCAAAAGTCTAGGATCAATTGTATTAAGCTTAGAGATGGCAATTCTCATTATTTTTTCTCAGTTATGAAGACTAGGCAAGCAAGGAATAGAATTGATTATATCTTTGATTCTAATCAGATTTTGCTTAAGGATCCTGATGCTATTTCTCTTGAGATCACTTCTTTCTATAATTCTCTTTTAGAGACTAAGGCTCCTTGGCTGCCTGCTGTTGATCTAGTTACTATGAGAAGAGGTAAGCAACTTAGCTCTTCTGCTCAGAGTATTCTTATTCAGCCTATCTCTCATGATATAATTGTTGATGCTCTTAAGGGCATTGGTAACACAAAGGCCCCTAGTATTGATGGTTTTAATTCTTTCTTCTTTAAGAGAGCTTGGCATATTGTGAAAGATGATATTTATGCTAGTGTTATTGATTTCTTCACTAAGGGAACTTTGCCTAGGCAATGGAATTGCACAACTATCACTCTTGTTCCTAAAATCCCTAATGCTTCTCATATTAAGAATTTAAGGCCCATAGCATGTTGTACTGTGGTCTATAAGCTTATCTCCAAGATCATTATTTCTAGACTTGCTGCTTCCATTGGTGAGGTCATTGATGATGCTTCAGCAGGTTTCATTCTAGGAAAGCACATTGAAGATAATATCCTTCTTGCAACTGAGTTCATTAAAGGCTATGATCACAAATTTATCTCTCCTAGATGCATGATTAAGGTGGATTTGAAGAAGGCCTAGGATTCAGTTGACTGGGGGTTCTTGATTTCTGTTATGCAAGAACTTGGTTTCCCTCAAGGTTTTATCAGTTGGATTTGTATTTGTCTTACTTCTTTCTACTATTCTATTCTCATTAATGGTTTCCTTGCCCCTCCCTTTGAAGCTAAAAAAGGTTTGAGACATGGTGATCCTATGTCTCCTTTCCTTTTTTCTATTGGCATGGAATATCTCTCTAGATGTCTCTATGAGCTTAGGTTAACTCCTGATTTCAATTTCACTCCTAGATGTGATAAGTTAAGCCTAACTCATATGATGTTTGTTGATGATCTGTTGATGTTCTCTAGAGTTGATAGTGTCTCTGTCAAGCTTCTTTTCCAAGCTTTTTCCAAATTTTTTGAAGCTTCTGCTCTTTCTACTAACCTTGATAAAAGTGAAGTCTACTTTGGTGGAGTTCCTATTGAAGTCCATACAGAGCTTAGAGAGCTTCTTGGTGTTTCTCAAGGTTCTACTCCTTTTAGTTATCTTGGAGTCCCCTTCTCTTCTAAGAAGCTTACAATTGCTCAATGTAGGCCTTTGGTGGAGAAAGTGACAGCTAGGATTCAAGGGTGGATGGCTAAACACCTGTCTTATGCTGGGAGTGTGTTGTTTGGTATTCAAACATACTGGGCTCAAATCTTCATTTTACCAAAGAAAATCCTAAAAGAGATTGAAGCTAGATTCATATGCTTGCTTTGGACAGGCTCCTCTGCTCTTGCTAGGAAATCTTTGGTTGCTTGGAACTATGTCTGTCTTCCTAAAGTTTGTGGTGACTGGAATTTGCTCTCTCTCCCTTAGTGGAAAAAAGGAGCTGTCACTAAGTTGCTTTGGGATGTTGCTCACAAGGCTGACAATCTCTGGGTTAAATGGGTTCACATATACTATTTCAAGCATAAAGATTGTTGGACTGCTCCTATCCCTGATAAATTCTCTTGGTTCTTGAAGAAATTTTTAAGTTTTAGAGATATTGTGAATGATCACGGGGATGGGATAGCTTAATGCAGGGCAATAAAATGAAAATCAAGAAGCTTTATACTGCTATTAGACCTCAAGTTCCTAAGGTCCTTGGAAAAGGGTTGTTTGTCACAATTTGGCAACCCTTAAGAATGTTTTTATCTTGTGGTTAGCTTTGTGGAATAGACTTGTTACTAAAGATAGGTTGCTGCAATGGCACATATCCTGTGATCTTAAGTGTTTTCTTTGTCTTAAAGGAAATGAGAGTGTGCAACACTTATTCTTTGATTGTGAGTACTCTAGGCAGGTCTGGGGCAAGGTTCCAAATATCTTACATGTTTCTAAACCTATCCAACAATTTGATGATGAGATTGAGTGGTTGAAGAAAATCTACAGAAGTTTTAGAGTAAAAAAAAAAGTAATCCAAGTTTCTTTCACTCAAACAGTTTATGGCATTTGGATACAGAGGAATGCAGTTTTGGTCGCTGGCTGCTGTAATTCTGCTGAGGTTTTAGTCAGAGATATCATTTTTCATACTGCTTGCAGATGCCCTGCAGGAACCAAGCACCTGATTATGTAGCTTTCTACTGGTTTGTTTTATTCTGCAGTTCTGCCTATGCTGTAACAGGTTTTATTCTTTCAGTTTTGCTTTTTCTGGTGTACTCTCTGGCAGTTTCTGTTTGTAAAGGTTTTTCTTGTTTATTTTGGTGTATAGTCTTGCTGTCTAGTCCTGCTGCTTGCTTTTTGCACTTGAGTCTTGGAGGGACTGTTTGAGTCTTTTTATTGCCTGTTGTTTGTCTTTGGCACCCTTCCTAGAAGGTAGCTCGAGGCAGGGAACATGGTTGTTGCTTCTCTTTAAGGTGAACCCTTCCTAGAAGGTGGGACTATAGAGTTTAGGAACTCTTTGGGGTTTGTTGGCCTTTTGTTAGGCTTGTGTAGTTTGGGGTACAATTTAGCTTGTTGTAAATTGTATCTTGCTTTCTTTGCTCCTTTTGGTAATAAAATTCCTTATTTACCAAAAGAAATAAAAAAAGGTAGTTTTTTATGTGGAGTTGGGTGTTATCAGGAAAAATAATAGTGGAAGTTAAAAGAGGTAGAAGTTGTTTGGATGCCAAATAAATTTTTTTAGTGCGTGAGAATTAAAAGTTGGGGTTTTGAAGGATTGTGGTGAAGTTTTGGAAAAAAAAAAAGTCTTAAATTATATATAAGACTAGAGTGTACCCGTGCAAAATGCACGGGATATATATTATATTAAAATGATTTTAATTTTATAATATAAGAAAAAATATATTTCAAATACGGGGTTGATTTAGATGTAATAACTTAGGCCCTGTTATTTTGAACTATTTATGGTCTTCTCTTGCTCAACTCTCCTAAAATCATTCTTTGTTGAGCCCTGCTCTACTCTATAGTCACATGCTCTACTCTTTTGCAATCTGATGTGCTCTATTCTGCTGATAAACTCAAAAGAACAAAACCTTACTCTTATATGTTGGGGTTTGGTAAGTCCCACTTACCGCGGAAATGACCCCGACCCAAAGAACCAATCGCAATTAATAAAACCATAAAGCATAACAAATAAACATAAAAGGATAAAATCGGAATTTACCTTTGACGCGTGCTTCGCTCGACCAAATGGGCTCTTATTTGAAAGCTTTAGCTCCAAAAATACCGAGCCTCCAACGGTATCCACCAACAAAGGACAAACACCGAGTTTTTAGGTCCGCTACTTTAGAGTTAGCAAGGTCCGACCAAAACCCAAGTGTTAATGGAGTTTAAGAGTTTTTGCAAAAATGCAATGCTCTTTCTAACTCCCTCTCAAGCACTTTTCTTTAAAACCCAACTTGGGTATTTATAGAGAAAAGTGGGAGTGAGAATTTCAATCCCATCAATGTGGGATCATAAATTTCTATAATTTAATTTAAAGCTAAAATAAAGTAAATAGGCAAGCAAGTAATAAATCAACAAGTGTCTTTGTTGTATGTAAAGAGAAGTGAGAACCACTTGGAAAGGGGGGGACCATACTTGCTCCCCACTCCTTCCACTCCTTATGCTACTTGTCATCACACAAACACACTCCCTTCACATGCTTCCCCAATGACCTGCCCTAGCACTGGGCCCAGCACGCCCACGCACATATGCGCGGGCTGCTGTTGCCGATGGGCACTGCTAGCAAGCCACGCACATGTGCGGGCTGCTAGAACTAGCGCGTGCGAGCAAGCCACGCAATGCTTGCGGGCTGCTGGCCGTGGCTTGCTAGCAAGCCTCGCACATGGTGCGGGCTGCTAGCTCGCCTAATCCCCTAGCACTCGGGATTCCGATGCTAGGGGTATTTTAGTCATTGATGATTTATTACTAATTTTTCCATCTCGTCTTTTACTATTTTTGACTCCACTTTCGACGCTCGGTTTTGACGATCTAAGCTCGAATTTCCGACGTCTAAATATTTAACACTCGGGCGACGAATTAATTTCTTCCGAATTAATTCGTTGATTCGGTTCGTATATTTGATTAAGTGTGACCAGAAGGGTTCAGTTAAGATTAAGCTGTAATATTAATTATACATTAATATTACTGATCAGAAACGGCCTCCACCCAGGCATTCTAATCACTTGACCTTACTGAATATATTAGCTTTCTAATAATTTTGAACCCGCTAACAGAATAATACACTTGTTCGAAGGACACCATTCCTTTTAATCTCCCACTAGTCTTTCCGGACAAGTGAGCATTTAGTGTATAGCCCCTTTCCTATGTCTCTTCATGTCGATTATTGAACTATAAGATAAGATTATTTCGTCATCCTTATTACGTCCAGAAGTGTTTCTCGCTTCCAAGTCCGACTGTCAATAAACAGATGACTTCTAAAATCCATCCGAGCACGGCCATGCATTTTTACAGTCTCGCTCTACGAGAGGCCTTGTATACAACAAAGACATCTTCCCTATTTTAGTAGGGGGACATTCCCAATCTTGTAATGTAGCTCCTCTTATTGAGAGGACCTAGCCGCCCGAGTGTTACCATTATAATCCCCTATTACGGCAGACGTTTGACAACATCAAAGCGGACTAGTACTCTAACAAGAGAACCCACAATACTCATGGTCAAGGAAATAGGTTCTGATAGCCATAATGAGAAGTATACATATGACAATTTTTAATCTCTTAAAGTATTCTCATAGGTCGATCCAGTATGGTTCTAAACCAATACCTGTGCAAATGATTTATGAAAATCATTTCCTCGTAGCACAAGAAATAGTGCTATAAATCAGAACTACACACTAATCTCAATTGGTCATTAATTGTCCATCGTTTAAATGACCTCGATTAGGGATATTTTTCGATTTATAATATTCAATGTTCACTTAATAGGTGTTTCCTTACCAAGACTGGTGTTGATGCCCTATTTTGAATATTCCAAGAATTGAATGGACTCATTATTTAATCCTAACCACAATTAAATAGCAAACGGAGTAACAAAATATTGCATGAAATTTATATTACTCCAAACTTTAATGATTTTTCTTAGTGTCTTACATTAGATGTTAAAAATTTTACTAAAACACTAAACAAGGAAATCAAAGCCAGTCTCCTACATGCGTAATTCCCATTGCCTCAACGTGCTTTTTGTGCTTTACTTGAGGCAAAGGTTTAGTAAGTGGATAGGCTACATTGTCATCCATTCCAACTTTGCAAATTCTTATTTCATCTTCTGATTTCCATTCTCGAATCATGTGAAACCGCCGTTTGACATGTTTGACTTTCTGATGTTCCCTTGGCTCTCAGGCGTGAGAAATAGCTCAATTGTTGTCATAATAGAGGGCTATTGGACCCTTTATGGAGGGTACAACATCAAGTTCACCAATGAACTTACGAATCCAAACAGCCACCTTAGCCGCTTCAGCATCTGCTAAGTACTCGGCTTCAGTTGTAAAATCTGCACTTGTACTCTGCTTGGCACTCTTTCAACTGAACGCTCCTCCATTTAGACAGAACACATATCAAGATTGCGATTTGAAATCGTCTCTGTCTGTTTGGAAGCTCGAGTCGATATAACCTTCAACAACTAATTCCTCTGAACCACCATACACCAGGAATTTATCCTTGTTCCTTTTCAGGTACTTAAGGATATTCTTTGTCGTAGTCCAATAGGCCTCTCCTGGATTTTATTGGTAACGGCTCGTAGCACTCAAGGCATACGATACATCTGGCCTAGTACATATAATGGCATACATGATCTATCCAATAAGCGAAGCATATGGAATCGGATTCATTCTTTCCCGCTCATCAGGTTTCTTTGGACACTGCTTCTTGCTCAGGGTTATGCCATGTGACATTGGCAGGTAACCTCTCTTGGCCCCTTCCATGCTAAATCGAGCAAGTACCTAATCAATATAAATACTTTGACTCAATCCAATCATCCTTCTTGATCTATCCCTATAGATCTTGATGCCTAGTATGTACTGAGCCTCTCCTAAGCATTGGGAAACCTTTTCCAAGCCAGGCCTTTATAGACTCTAACAATGAAATGTTTTTTTCCAATGAGCAATATGTCATTGACATATAAGACTAAGAAGGGGATATAACTCCCACTGACCTTCTTGTAAACACAAGATTTATCTGGATTCTTGATAAAACCAAACTTACCGATGGCTTCATTGAATCGCAGATTCCAACTTCTGCTAGCTTGCTTTAGTCCATAAATGGTCTTCTTAAGCTTACAAACTTTCCCAACATTGTTTTGGTCGACAAAACCTTCAGGCTGTGTCATGTACACATTTTCTTCTCGAACGGATTTAAGCATTGCGACTGGTGAAAAGGTTTCATCGTAATTAATACCATGACCTTGTCTATAACCTTTTGCCACCAATCTAGCTTTGTAAATGAATACATACATCCGATAGGTGTATAACCTTTGGGTAAGTAAACCAAGTCCCAGACCTGATTTTCAAACATGGAATCCATTTTAGATCTAATGGCCTCATGCCATTTAGCAGAGTCGGTGGTTACCATCGCTCGCTTGTAGATTGCCGGTTCATCTCCATT